TGACGATTCATTTGACACATTTGAATTTGATTTCAAATTTTGTGGCTTTGTCAGTCTTTATGGAGCTTATTTTATGTTATTTATTATTTATTCTACTACTGATAGTTGTATAAAGGTAGTAAATCTAGATGGAAATTGTGGCAGAACTTAAATTAACAGTGACACTATCGCGATTTATCGAAAAAGACTCTAAAATAGTTGGTTGTGTAGCATGCGGTAGATCTCGGCAAAAAAATGGGTGAAATAATGAAAATTGGATGAACAACTTTTCGCTAGTAAGTGACTATATAATATACATACGTGTAGTAAACCGATAATTTATGAAATTCACTTAAATTAACTAAATTATATATTTTTCTTGCATTTTAGCTTTTATTTATTACTTGTCAAAGATTAGATGTCAAAGAATTTAGATACGTTAATTTGACTTACCTGCTTCAGTAGCGTATCGGATGTTTGTTGTAATAAATAATTATTATAACTTATCTATTTTTATTAGAATTATATATTTTTATAACAATTTTAATAACTACCAACACTTATTCACAACGTAAAATAAAACAACAAATTATTGAATCTACCCCACGTCTACCCTACATCATAGTTTTACATTTTTTAAATAAAATTACAGCGACACTGATAAACCGGAATTTAAGTCGGCCATATTTGAGGCCCATCGCGGTGTACCTAAGATTTTTAATATGCTCCTTTCTTAGTCTTCTTATTCAAAGATAATTATTTATTACAAGCACACAAAAAAATTTAACGTCAGAAACAATATATGAGCTAAAGAAGGAAACGTCAGTACAAAAAGTAATAATGTCGAGAAAACTTCGAACAGATACGCCTGCATAATTGCTGACATACTTATTTGCCTAGCAAATAGGTTTGCCAGCGATTATATTGTTTTAGTGGCAATATCTCTCGAAGAGTAAACTACCATCAAACTTTACAGAATAATGCGAGCTGCCTTTCGTTCTCCTAAAAACTTATTATCTACATGTAATTTTAAAGTGGTTTATAGGCTTTAGGTTTCATATACAGGGTTGTTCACCACATACGACACGGAGTATTGTAGCTAAACGATGAGATTTTTACAAATTGTAAGTTTTGGGTTCGATGAAGGACTATTAGAGGTACAATTTAAAAATAATTTTACAAGATACAGAGTGTCCCAAATAAGTAAAAAATATCAAAGTTGTATTTTTTTAAATGGAACACCCTGTATATTATTACATTTTTAGTTTCTACGATTAAAATAAAGGTAAATTTGATTAAGATTTATTATACTTAAACCTTACCGTTTTTGAAATATCTTCAATTTTGTGAAATTGCAGTAAAAATTTTAAGGCTTCATTTCTCCAAGGGTATCAAAGTTTTTAATACTAAATATTTACTGAAGTTTATTTACTGATCAGTTATTGTGTTGCAATAATAAGAATAATACTACCTTATACAGAGTGTCTAAAAATTTATTTTAAATAATTATTAGCTTCAAACGGCAATAACTTTTTTAATTTAAATGGAACACCCTGTATATTTTACGAGAATCAAATGCACAATTTAATTGTCTATCAAATTATATTATACCATTTTTTATCTATCTCTTTAAGTTTGCGTAGAAAATGCATTTTCTTGTAATTTAGAACTTATTTATCAATATACCCATGGACTATTGACATTTTAGATTATTTTTAAAGATGTACCAAATTTTTAAAGAGTACAGATACTAATATTGTCGATATAATTCGTTTATTTCATTAAAAAATAAAAAAAAAATGTTTAAATATTTGTTAAAGAGGACCAATTAATATGATTCCAGTATTCAAACTACATTAACTGACTGTTTGCGTTGATTAATAATAATTGCTCCAAATACTAAAAAACTGAATTTTGTATGGGCATTAGACAGTGTGATAAAAAGTAACACCTTAAAAATGATATTTCATTTTTTAATAAATGCTTATTTATAACAACAAAGACTTTAATTTGATAACTTGTTATTATATTGATTTCTGACTCAAAAATCCACATTTATTTATAATAATTTATTAACGAACACAATTAAGTATGTCATTAATTAGTATATGGGCGGAAATAATGGTGTTATATTTAATTAATGGTATACTCTTTTATAAAGATTTAAATAGTTTTCTTTTTGCATACAAATGGGCTAGTAATATTATCGTTTTGCTAAAAACGATAATATTACTAGTCTGTACACTTTGTACATTTGATGCTTTAAAAATAATCTAAAATGTCAATATTCCATGGATATATTGATAAATGAGGTCTAAATTATAAGAAAATGCATTTTCTACGAAAACTTGAAGGGATAGGTAAAAAATGGTATAATACAATTTGAGAGACAATTTAATTGTGCATCTCATTCTCCTAAAATATACAGAGCATTCCATTTAAATTAAAGAAGTTATTGCCGTTTGAAGCTAATAATTATTTAAAATAAATTTTTAGATACTCTGTATAAGGTAGTATTATTTTTATTATTGCAATACAATAACTGATCAATAAATAAACTTCATTAAATATTTAGTATTAAAAACATTGATACCCTTGGAGAAATGAAGCTTTAAAATTTTTACTGCAATTTAACAAAATTGAAAATATTTCAAAAACGTAAGGTTTAAGTATAATACACCTTAATCAAATTTACCTTTAATTGAATCGTAGAAACTAAAAATGTAATAATATACAGGGTGTTCCATTTAAAAAAATACAACTTTGATATTTTTTATTTATTTGGGACACTATGTATCTTGTAAAAATATTTTTAAATTGTAGCTCTAATAGTCCTTCAACGAACCCCAAACTTACAACTTGTAAAAATCTCATCGTTTAGCTACAATACTCCGTCTCGTATGTGGTGAACAACCCTGTATACGGGCTGATAAATTTATTAAAATAATGTTACATTTTTTGTCGGTTCGGTGTGGATAAAAAGTCTAATTTATTTAAACACAATTTATTTTACATTAAGTAACAAAACAGCAATAAAAGACTTAAAGAAGAGAAACTATTTACAAACTTATTTATAACTTTGCTTCCTTCATCCACGTTACCGTAGATGGAGCTAAGAAGGCTTAGGTAGGGTATATACTATAGAAATAAATAAATAAAATACGAGTAGCGGAAAAAGGGGCCAAAATACCCTACATATATGCTTATTCTCTGCATTAAGTCCATCAGACCGAAGGGAACAGCCATTCGACGACCGGTTTCGGAGATTTTTCTCCATCGTCAGGCCGACTTTGCTGTAACCCTCGATCTGACCAACGAAAAGCAGAGAACAGCATTTGAGTACAAAACGTACTACTATGGCGAGAGTGCTAGACGCTCTGCGCCATCTAGCGGCAGCTGTGACAATCACAGATCGTACCGCCAAAATTAAAACCAGCGGCCTACTGGACAAACATGCTTGCTTCATCCACGTTACCGTAGATGGAGCTAAAAAGGCTTAGATAGGGTATATATAAATAAACAAAATACGAGTAGCGGAAAAAGGGGCCAAAATACCCTACATATTATGCTTATTCTCTGCATTAAGTTCATCAGACCGAATGGAACAGCCATTCGACGACCGGTTTCGGAGATTTTTCTCCATCGTCAGGCCGACTTTGCTGTAACTCTCGATCTGACCAACGAAATTATTTATAACTATTTATCTAAAAGGAATTATTTATTTTGAATTTAGCGCGGCAATTGTAGGCGTCGACAGAATCGGTTTGTTTCTGTCATCCTCAGACCCCAGAGTCGGGTTATACAGGGCGGTCCAAACTGTATTCCGGAAACTCCGGCAGCATATTTTCCAGATAAAATAAGTAAAATAGTTCGTATAAATGTTTGTCCTAAAATGCTTCGTTTCGGAGATGCAGGGTGTAGAAGTTTCATTTTTATTTCGATTTGTTCCTAATAATTTCTGAAGTAACGGCGTGATAATTGGTATCTAGGAGTTTTTTGACATGAGAAATTTGAATTTTATGTCAATATGACTCCTACTTGTAGAGGGCGCCAACCCTCATATTTTCCTCAACCTACATATTTTCTAACTGGTTTGAAGAGTAACAACTCTTCATCCCTACCTGTATAAAACTACTGAGTAAACAAATATACATTTATGACTTTTTCTAGGTAAAAAAGACCTGTTGGTAAAAATCGCTACGAGTACTGGTTCCCGAGATATTTGGAATATAAATTATCAATACCTATCATCATTGACATAAATTAAACATATTGACTAATAGTAGACCGAAATCATAAATTTGAAATGTTTTTGTGTCAAAAGTTGAACAGAAATTGTTTTAGGTTAGGTTAATTTTTCCAAAAAAAAATATGATTTATTTAAAAAAATAAAAAGTTCCCAAATTTATCATTCGGATCCAATCAAATAACTATCTACTCAAGATATGTTTATTTTTTGTCAAAAAATGACGTGTATTGAGCATTTCCGTTCTAAATATCTTGAGAACGGTTGCTCGTAGCGATTTTTGCCAAGAGATATTTTTTACGTAGAAAGTCAGGGAAATGTATATTTTTCCACTCAATAATTTTATACAGGTACGAACGAAAAGTTATTACTCTTCAAATGAGTTAAAGCACAGGTAGGTGGCGCCCTCTACAAATGGGAGTCATATTGACATCAAAATCAAATTTCTCATGTCAAAAAACTCTCAGACACCAATTTTCATCGAAATATTGAGGTTAGTTCAGAAATTATTCGGAAAAAATTGAAATAAAAATGAAACTTCTACACCCTGTATCGCCGAAACTAAGCATTTTAAGACATACATTTATACGAACTTTTTTACTTATTTTTACCTCCAGATTATGCTGCCGAAGTTTCCGGAATACAGTTCGGACCACCCTGTATAGCTTTATTTCAATGCTACAGCTGAACCATAGCCTCTACCTTTAATTCAGACCATAAAAAGACATTTTATATTTTAAAAATATATATTTTTACATCTTCTAATAAATCACATCGTTACAAGTTAAACAATATTGCTAAGAGCAGCAGCTCTGTGAAGGGCTAAGAATTCCTCCCTAGCAGCTCTCACCTCGGGAGTGTCCGTTACGGGTAGTGGCAATTCTGGGTTGATGATAACAGGCGCAACAGGTTGAAGCAGGGCATTACGAGCAGCGAAAACTTCGGGTGTTTCTTGAACCGGCAACGGGGCGATACCATTATCAACTGGAGCTACAGGCAGAGGTCCTTCGATAATTCTGAAGCCATCGATTCCGGCAACGTATTTGAAGGTTTGCAATACGCCGAGTTCGTTCGGGACAGTGTATTCTCCGATGACAGTGCCGTCAGGAAGACGTTCCTCCAGTCTGGACGAGTCTCTGAGTTGGACGCTGTATTTGTATGTTCCTAGAGAGCTTTGAGATACGGATACAAGTCCATCTTGGTCTTCTAATAGACCTGGACGAGCAAAGGCAACAGCCAAGAAAGAAGCGAATACCTGCAATAAAAAATAGTATTTACAATATACCCTATCGGTAAGAAACAGATTTGGGTGGGAGAAAGAAAAATGGGAATTATTTATCACATATATTTGTACACTACTTCATACTTTTGTTCACTACATTGTACATACAGTATATTTCGGACCCAAGCCTCGGGCAATTTTTTGAAAATTTGATATTTTTTCGAATTTTTAATTTAAAAAATCATAATTTCTTGATAAAATGGCAACATAGATTGTAGATTAAATTTACAAGAAATACGACCCAGAAAAGATCCAGTAGTTCAAAATTTAAGGAAAATTTGTTTTTTAATTTTTTTTTTATTTTCAAAGTAAAATAACTCGGTTATTTTGAACTTATTTGAAAAAACGGTAAAGGGAAAATATGTTTCTTTTATTGAGGTCTGCCAGCCCTGAAAACCTTCGCACTTATTTAAGACTGACTTTGTATACAGGGTGGTCCGAACTGTATTCCGGAAATTTCGACAGCATATTCTTCGGATAAAAATAAGTAAAAAAGATCGTATAAATCGATGTCCTAAAATAGGAGAGTCCTATTTGGAGATACAGGGTGTAGAAGTTTCAGTTTTATCACGATTTTTTCCAAATAATTTCTGAAGTAACGTCAATATTGGTGTCTGGGAGTTAATAAATTTTCCTCCGTACGTGTATAAAATTATACTGAGTAAAAAAATATACATTTTCCTGGCATTTAAAATGTCTCTTGATGAAAATCGCTTGGGGCAACCGTTATGATGATATCTGAAACGGAAATAGTCAATACATGGTAATTATTGACAAAAAATAAACACGTTAATACATAGTTATTTGAGTGAAATAATTAATTTAGAAATTTTTAATTTTTTTATATTATCATAAATTTTTCTGCGAACAAATGATGATAAAACAGTTTCTGATAAACGTCTTGCACAAAAACATTTAAAATTTATGATTTCATTCTAATAACTATTTAGTCAACATGTTTAATTTATGTCAATGATGACAGGTATTGATAATTTTGATTCCAAATATCTCGAGAACCATTACTCGTAGCGATTTTTACCTAGAGAACTTTTTAAGTAAAAAAACATCGTAAATGTATATTTTTTTACTCAGTAGTTTTATACACGTACCGACGAAAAGTTATTATTCTTCAAACAAGTTAAAAAATGTGTAGGTGGTGTCTTCTACAAGTAAGAGTCAGATTAACATCAAAATCAAGTTTCTCATGTCAATAAACTCCAATTTTCATTTAAATATTGACCCTACTTCAGTTATTATTTAGAAAAAATCGAAATAAAAATAAAACTTCTACACCCTGTATCTCTAAACTAAGCATTTATATATATGACGACGAAGTTTCCCGAATACAGTTCGGACCACCCTGTGTAATAATGGCTTAGAAAATGATCACAATAAAATTAACACACATTATTTTTCTAAATTAGTCTTAGATACTAAGAACTAAACACATGAGCGTTGCTCAACATACAATAGCAAATCGAGTTGATTCGAAAATTTAAATAATATAAAGATTAAATAATAAAAATCATATAAAGAATGGATGATGAATAATCAATGAAAATATGAGTTAGTTTATAAGATGCTGGTCGCCGAGTAAAAGTTGTATGATAAATTTTCTACTATAATGCTACGTACCAAAAACTTATTCATTTTTCAGTTGATGCAGCTCAATTTACACCAGTCAACTTGGAAACTGATAGAGTAGTATGCTTGAGACGGAGCTTGCAAAAGCTTTTATACCTAAAGTAGAAAGCGCTGTTTTAAAATTAAGTACTAACCGGCTAACCTAACTAACTGAAAGCAGCCAGCCTTCCTGTATGGAATTTCCGGCCCAAGGCGAAAATAAATTGAAATATAATGATAGATGTCAAGTGTCTTCTTATCGGAATTTAGTGAAAAATATCCGAATTCTGTTGCTTAGAACATTGCCTTTATTCCCATTACTATACAGGTTGTTTCAAAAAAGATGTGCCATCTCTCGTGGGAGATTCCTCACGTAAAAATAAGGTTTATTTTTCATATCAACATAGGTCCGATTCTGCTTTGTTTCGTAGCTACAGGGTGTTTAAGTTTTAATGATATTTCGATTTATTATAATTTTCTTCCATGTACTTTTAGTGATTCGAATGAAATTTGGAAGGTAAAAGTTACTATAAGTGCTACATATTTTAAGGCTAAAAAAGTGTGGATAAATTCATTAGGGACGTGCGTATGGATTAACACTGGAATATTAAAAAAAATCATGTGCGCCACTGACTTTTTTTTCTTTTGATATCAAAATTGTGTAGGCCAATTAAAAATTATCTCTTGATATTTTGTCGAATTCGGCCTCCTTGATGACAAACGCACTTATATTAATCACAATTAATAAAATTAAAATTAAAATAAAATTAATAAATTGTATAGTTTACCTAATTTATTATTAAATGTTGTTACTATTAGATATTATTTCTATTAGTCCAACCTACATCGATTTCAAATAAAAAATAATAAAATAAAGATAATTACAAAAAAAACTAATTTTAAAAAGTCCTGTAACTTTAAAACTGTCCATTTCCATACCTATAGAAACATTTTTTCACATTTTTTATGAGGAATGAGGAATCAATGAGTACTTATTTAAAACTTTTGCAAGTTAATGATATTACATTTTTTTAAAGGTTGCTATTAGACTTGGATCAAGGCAGATTCATAAAATTGCGTTTATCTCATCAAGCAGGCCGAAATCCACATAATATCTTTAGACAACTTTTAATCGGCATTAAACTGCTTACACTATTTCGCTAACAAGAGAAAAAAAAGGTACATGTTTTTTTAGAAAAATATTCCAGTGATAACCCATATGCACGTCCCTGGTGAATATGTAGATACTTTTTTAGCTTTAAAATAAGTCACATTTATCACCAAAATTTATCAATTTTATCGCTTTTATCATCAAAATTTCATTCGAAACGCTAAAAGTGCTTGGAAGAAAATTATAATAAATTGAAAAATATTAAGACTTTAACACCCTGTAGCTACGAAACAAACCAGACTCGGACCTATGTTGATATGAAAAAAATGAACCTTATTTTTACACGAGGAATGACACATGTTTTTTGAAACACCTCGTATATAATCATTTTTCGTTGGTTTTTTCTAGTTTTAATAATTTGACGTATTTCTAAGGATTTAAAATAAAAATAAAATATTGATAATTTCCGTCTGTATACCAGGTTGAACAAACTTCATTTTTGACAAGTAATGTCAAAAAATATTCAAGATTTTTTGACATCTCTTGTAAAGATTTTGATTATAGAAAAATGAAATAAATTCAGATATGAATGCTCGTCTTCCCGCCTAAACTTAAAACTCTTTTGGATCGCATACATTGTAATTGGCGTTGCTATAGCGGTTGCTAAGAACAACAGCAAACAACGAAAAAAAAACATTAGTAGGGTAAAACGTTGCTTTCCAAAAAGTAATCCAGATATTTTCCAAAATTGAATTGTGGTTTAAGAAAGAGTACTGTTAAACCTGGGAGATTTTTTTTTCTGTGGTATAAAGGTAGATATGTCAAATGTGAAATAATGTTATACAGGGCGGCGCACTTCATTCCCCTCTGTTGATTATACGAAAACGGAAAGATGTAGAAACAAAATATTTTATAGGTATATGTTTACAGGGTGTCTCAGAACTAATATCCATACCAAAGTTATATTTTTTCTTAAGGAACACCCGGTATTTTATTTCATTTTTGGATTCTTGGGCTCAAAAAAGGCATTTATTATAAGGGTTAAATATGTTTAAAATCTTTGTTTTTCAGATATTTAAAGATATTTAAATACGCAAGCTACAAAAGAATTGATTATTAACACTCGGTACATTACTTTTCAGAATTAATTCTTGTGCTGAGTTTAAAGGTAAAGAAATAAACTTTACTTAAAATGTTATTGCTTCCTTAAATTTATACAGAGGTACCAAAAATTGGTGATCTATTTTAAGAATTTATTTTACATAAAAACTTTGTTATTTCATATACAACACCCTGTATTTTTTTAAATAAATAGAAGCAGATTCAAATGCTCTTTCAAACTATATTAGGGTTTCCTATACATATCTATCTCAGATTTTGAATAAAAAGCGATTTTTAAATAAAATGGCAATCTAGATGGCTGGTATTGCCATGGCAATTTTTTAGTGACAGTTAGTAACTATTTTCAACCGCTTATTTTTAAAAGATTTTTTTCCAAAAGATAACTAGATAAAATTATTAGAAAATTATTATAGGTTTCTGCCCATCTGAAATTCAATTATAAGGATATCATTAAGGTTTCCATTTATTTATAAAAAAAAAGAAAATGTCTGTAATAGACAAATAGTCATATCGAGGAGTGTCTCGCTTGGGTAAAAAATGTACACGTATTGCCAAAATATTATTTTACTGCCAAGCGACTGCCAATGACTGAGAAGAAGACTGCCTATGACAGCCATGTAAATATTGTCAAGGTCAAGGGCTAAAAAGTATTACTGGTTGCCTGCACAACCGCAATGTGTCAAGAAAAATGGCGTATCCGCCAGAAATTAAAAATGTATTACTGGTTGCGTGCACAACCGCAACGCCAGAAATTAAAAGACTTTTTCAGGCGCCATCTTTTAGTCAAGTCGAGAAGTAAGGGAATCAGACAATGGAATTGTCTGGTATGAAGAAGTACGCTTTCCGAGAATTGGGGAAATTTCGAGAAGCAGTCAATAGAGTATATAAGCCGGAGCCATCGACAACTGAGAAAGTTTTTGAAATTTGAATATACCGCGTGGAAATTGAAAATCGGACAATTTGGTGAAGGAATCTTATAAATAGTTAGTTTGTTGTGTGTTATAAGTTAGTAATTGTGTATAAAGTGAGAAAAATAAATTCGTTAAGTATTTTATTGTGAGTTTAAATTAGTGGACCCACGGAATCCGTAACAATTGGTGTCGGAAGTGCGATTCAAGAGGATTTTAAGAAGAAATTAAGTGGATTGGAAGATTTTTAGACCCAATTAGAGTATTTTTATGGTTGGTACAAGAGAACAAGCGAAGAAAATGGAAGAAGTAAGCAAATTATTGGGCGATTTTAGGAGAATATGAGAAGAGAAAAGGCAGAAGAACAAGAGAGGTTGCGAAAAGAGAAAGAAGAGGAACAAGACCATCTACAGAAAATACTTATGGAAAATCAAGAGAAAATGTTAGAAGGTTTAGAAGCCCGTCAAAAGAAAGAGAAACAGGAAGAACAGGACCGGCTTGAAAAAATTTTCCAAGATTTGAAAATTCAACGACAACAAGACAAAGAAGAAGAACAGGACCGGCTTGAGAAAATTTTAGGCAATTTAGAAATTCGTCAGAAGAATGAATGGAGGGAAATTTTAGAAGATATAGAAACGCGCCGCCAGAAAGAAAGACAAGAAGATCAGGACCGTCTTAAGAAAACTTTAGAAAATCAAGAAATTCGACTTCAGAAAAGCTTGGGGGAACAGCAACAAGCAATGTTGGAAGAACGTTGCCAGGAACAGCAGAACCACTTCCAAGAAGCCGTAGAAGATCTGGAGGAGCGCCTTCAGCAGAAGATAGAAAAGTTGGAGATGGACCTACAGAAGACCAAGGTACAAGTAAGGACACCTGGCGTTCCGGGAACTGCGAACCTTAAAGCCCCGACCTACGATGGACAAACGACATGGACGATGTACCACCGCCAGTTTGAAGCAGCGGCTGCTGCCAATGGATGGACTGACCAGGAGAAAGCAGCGGCACTTGTCATCGCGCTGCGTGGCCCTGCCCTGGAACTCCTGCAAACTATTCCTGCAGCCCAACAGCAGGAATACCAAACTTTGGTCGCTGCACTGGACAGAAGATATGGCGACCAACATCGACGCCAACTTTCCAGGCCCAGATCAAGTCACGCCTGCAGAGGTCCGAGAGAGTCTGCAGGAATTTGAAGCAGACTTACGTCGGCTGGTACACCTAGCGTATCCTGAAGCACCGGAAGGATTTAGGGAGGAACTCGCTGCTCAGTGCTTTATCAGCGGACTGAGGGACAACGAATTACAGAGGGCGCTGCAAATATCCCGATTTTCTACCAGCAGCGAAGCACTGGTCAGGGCGCTGGAAATCGAAGCTGCATTTAGCGCCATCCCTAGACCGAAGATAAGATCGGTAACGGTTGAGGAACAGCCCGGAAGTTCTCACATACGTTTGGAGGAGATGTTTAGTAAACTATGTGAGTTACTAGTGAACAAGAGTAGCAACAACACCCAGACAGAGAGCTATAGAAGATCACAGGACATAAGGTGCTTTAGATGTGGCAGGAATGGCCACATCAAACGGGATTGCCGCGTTCAAATGCGATCCCGTTCACCATCCAGAGAACGTAGGCACCAGGAAAACTAAAATCAGTCAATACTAAGGGGCGAGTATTGACTGGGGAGAACAGAGCCCCCAGGATTTTTTCCATTAGGAGTCTGGGAAGAACCGCTGACAGTTTAGTGATCGACGGGAAGGTCAATGGTAGGAGAATCCGAATGACAGTGGCACTGGCGCTATGGTATCGTTGGTGCGGGCTAACTCAGTGCAAGGATTGAAGCTGATGCCTCTGGGAAGAAGAGTGTGTTTACGTACAGTTACGGGGGAAATGGCCGTTGTACGGGGAGAGGCTATCGTCGAACTGAAGTTAGGAAATTTGAAGTTTCAGCATAGCGTCTTAGTGGCAGATATTGAAGATGACT